TCCCTTCCCTTCCCTTCCCTTCCCTTCCCTTCCCTTCCCTTCCCTTCCCTTCCCTTCATTGCTGTATGCCTTCTGCAATATGTTCCTCCTCAGAAATACCAAAGCTTGCACCAAAGCTGTTCCAATTCCAGGACATGCTGATTATATTTGACATCCCACAATGGTACAGTCATGTTACTTATTTTATGGATTGGGTTTTATCTCTTTTTTATTCTCTTGAATGTATTTTTAATGTGCACCGCCTGGAGAGAGAGAGTAAAAAAAAAAAAAGGAGGAGGAAGCCAACATAAAAATGAGCTCTTTTCAGAGGCATGGAAAGAGATGATCTTGCCTAGTTTTTACCAGTCAGGAAAAAAAAAAACCCCTTGGAAAACTTGAAAGAGAACAAAATAAAGTAATTTTAAAAATGCACAGAAAGCTACCCATTTTGGGCTGCCATAGCGTTGCCACAAAAATGGTCATAACTCTAGAGCAGTGCTTCTCAAACTTGGCAACTTTAAGATGTGTGGACTTCAACTCCCAGAATTCCCCAGCCAGCATGCACTAGGATGTTGACAGTGATGGTAGCTGAGGATCAGAAGGGAGGGAAGGCGTGGGAGATATTGGGGGAGGAAGATAGACCCATGATTTTCTCCTTTCATACTAGATGCAAACAAATTGTGGGCAAGTACACACACACACACACACACACAGAGTTGCATACACATAAAGATTCATAGCAATGCAGCAGACTTTTCTCAAGATACATCCACGACACTGGGCAAGCCTTTGCATCATAACTAGTGAAAGCTCTCTAGGCCAAATGTCCTCCAACTGTAATGTGTGTATGTGTACGTGTATTTATTTGCCTACAACTTATCCATGTGATTCGGGCACTTTGCAACCAGCATGCACTTACGATGGTCGCAGTGTCCTGCAGTCATGTGACCGCCATCTGTGAGCTTCATTGCTGGCTTCTGACAAGCAGAGTCAATGGAGAAACCACAGTGAAATTGCAAGTCATGGTCACGTGATGTTGCACTTAACGACCTGCAGTGATTCGCTTAATGGCTGCAATGGAACTGAATTCGCAAGTCTGGCACAGTCATATGATGTTTCACTTAACAACCACTGCACTTAGCGACGGAGTTGCCAGTCCCAATTGCAGTCAGTAAGTAAGGACTATCTGTACTTGCCTTAATGGAATACATCCTTATTTTTTTAAAACAGTAAACTTGAACAAATACATGAATGCAAATAAAAAGTGAAATTTATAACACCCTTTTCTTTTTCTTCCTTTCAGATGTAACCTTCCTCCACTAAGCAATGCATATAGCAATGATGTAGGATCCAAAACTCAACTGGTAACTGCTAATCCCAGCATTATTAAGAAAAGGTAAGGAGCAAATAATCTGTTTCTTCTGAAAAGATCAGCCATGCTGAATAAAGAAGAGAAAAAAATAGGCATTCTGTTTTGTTTTGTTTTTTTAAAAGAAAGGAAAAAGAGGTATTTTAAAGTCAGAGTGTTGTGGGCAGAAGAATTGTCTCACTAGCAACCTGTGTCCAGTCAACAACAATCTTATTGGGTGGGTTAAGAAATGGAGAGACTCATCTGTCATCTCTCTTGAAATTGGTTTGCATCCACATGCTTCGAAAAAGAGCTGTGAGTACTGGAATGTGATAGTCAGAGCCATCTACGTGGACGAAACATGGGTCCAAAGCTCACCCCAATTTTGATTTTCTGTGTTTTAAAAAGGAAGTTTCCAGCCCTTACCCTTATGAACATGTGGTTGACAGCATGTAACATTTCAGGAGCCAAACATGTAGCCAAATAAGAAATTCATAAATTAGGGCCAAGGCTCAGTTCTGTATGGAGTTTCTCCCAATGAAAAGGACAGGCAGAAAAAACTGTAATTTGTGCATTTATTACTGAATGTACAGTACTAAATACATTCACCACATCTCTGAATTCTGGAATATTGGAGGAGTTTGGCTGATGTTTATGAGGACAATACAAACAGCTAAGAGAGAGAGAGAAAGAGAGAGAGACTGAGAGGAACACAGTCATAGAACAGTTGAAAAATGAAGGGAAGGAGACAAATAAGTAGAGGTTAAATTTTTATTTCAGAATAGTGTTGTGCATCCATACTTGATTGTTCTTTTTGCTGAATGTATGGAAAGCTATATAAATTACGTTCCTTTGCAGCTTCCAACCATATCTCTGAAGTTAAGTGGCACAACTGCTGAATTGGATGGCTGGAAACACACCCAAACTTGTTTTAGCAAGAGAAAAGAAATCCCGCTGCCCACCAAAAAAACAAAAAACAAACAGAAAATCTGATCTCCATTCACATATGTGACATGGACCTGATCACTGTCTAACTAGTCCTCGTTTAGTGACTGCCTCATTTAGTGACCACCTCATTTAGTGACCAATTGCAGTTATGACAGTGGTGAAAAAGTAACTTTATGACCAATCCTTGCATTTACAACCTTTGCAGATCTGTAAAGCAAAGGAAAGCTGAAGTAAGATTATAAGCACAGGGGCAGTTTCACTTAGCAACTGCTTTGCTTAACAACCAAATTGCTGGTCCCAACTGTGGTTGCTAAATGAGGACTACCTGAATATGAGACCTGCAGACATCCAATGTGCCCTTGATCTAGAAGTGCCCTTGATCTCACTTAGAGGAGAAATTTGAGCTAAGACCTAAAAAAATAATGATGAAGACGATGATGATGATGTTACCCCCTGTGATAATATCAATGTGCAGGCAATCCAGAGCAATATCTTCCTACACATTCATGGATGCCATTCCTAATCATGATGATGCCAAAATGACAAAACATATCTTATAAAGTCAGAATATAAGCTTTGCATTTTTGTACTTGCATTGTGATGTTGCTCACAGGTACAGTACCTAAGACACAGATCATAGGTGAGACACGTTCCCAAATCCCATTTCTATATTTCTTATGGGCTTCTCTTGCTAAACTCAAGTTCCCCTTTCTTGTTGCATGAGCTTTGTGAAAAATCAGCTATTAACTTTCAAAATTATATTTTAAAAACTTGTTTAAATATGTCTTCATATGGATGCGTACAATAGTGGAACAGTCTATCTGCAGAAGTTTGTGCGTGGGTGGATGGATTGATGGATCACATTTTATAGGCCATCCACCTCAAAGTGACTGGGCAACATAAAATTAATAATTATGATACGCATTGGAAATTGTGGGAAAGGTTGGTTCTCTACATCAGGGTTCCCCCACCCCCCCCCACTTTTAGTTTCGGGTGTGACCTCACACCCCAAACTTACCCCCTGCGCT